TTTTCTCTTAGAAGTCTGAATAGATAGATTTTCTTTAGTATTTTGATATGTCATGGATTTGGAGTAATTTATCTTATTATATTGTCTTCGACTCAATAATGTATCAAAATATTTATGTTGTATAAAATTGTATTATTTGGAGGAGATTAGTAATGCTTGAATGATTGTAAAACAGCTTGCTTATTTTGTATTTAGAGGAAGTTGATATATGCCTAATTGTGATAGACATTGTAAATGTTTCTCTTTGAGAAGAGATTACATAAATATAGTTGTTGTCATATGTGTGGTTAGCACATATTGTAGTTAGATTTTGTTAAAAAGGACCTTCTGTCTAGTAAAATGGTATTGTGAGTCCATGTATTTGCTCTTAGAGTGATATTTGGAATTTTTACTATGAGCAATGGTACTTTGACTATTTGAATATATGGTAGTTGGTGTGTGTTGAAGGAATCCAAGTTCATGTAATAATTTTTTCAACCATATGGCATCAACTGTTGCTTTTGTTAAAGCCATGTATTCTGATTCAATAGAGAATAAAACAACAGATTGTTGTTTTTTGCTGCTTCAAAACATAATTCCTTCAGCCAACAAAAAACAAAATCTAGAAGTGGAGTGACGCATGTCCTTTTTACCTGTCTAGTCAACATCAAAATAACCATAGAGAATATCACCTTGAGATAAGTGTTAGTATTTTATTCCAAAATTTAATGTGCCTTTTATATATCTCATAGTTCTTTTCAAAGTTTGAATATGTGTAGGTCTTGGTTTAAAAAGATATTGTGCTAAACTGCTAGTAGCACAAGCAGAATCAAATCTAGAATTAACAATGGCATACATTAAACTATTAACAACTTGAAAATAGAGGTAATTATGGAAAGTAATGTGATCTTCATTACTTAAATAAATTTTTGATTGAATTGGGGTACTTAATGGATTGAAATTCAATATATTGAATTCATTAAGTTTATTTGTTAAGTATTTGGCTTGATGGAGGATGATCCATCCTTCTTTTCTATTTCTGAGTATAACATTACATAAAGTATAATGGATTTCTCTTTCATCAGATATGTCAAATTCTTGCTAGAGAATATCTTTGATTTGTTGAATTAAAGGAAGTTTATTGCTCATAAGTATATAGTCATCAACATAGAGTATAATTATGATAAAATCCTTATTATTTTCTCTTTTGATATATATGTTTGCATCTGATTCAAGGCATTGGTATTTGTGAAGGATTAAGTATTGATTTAATTATTGATGCCATGCTTTAGATGATTGTTTAAGATCATATAGGGATTTATTTAACTTATATAGCTTGTTAGTATGTATAGAAGGTAATCCTTCATGAATAGTTATATAGATGTCTTCTTCTATAAAACCATTTAAAAATGTTGTTTTAACATCTAGTTGATGTATTTCCAAATTATGTTGAGCAATTAAAGCAAGAAAAACTTTGATAGAGTTAAGTTTGACTATAGGAGTGTATGTCATTGTGAAATCAATACCTTGAACTTGGATGAAACATCTTGCAACTAACATTGCTTTATATTTGTCAATACTTCCATTAACTTTAGTTTTTATTTTAAAAATCCACTTTTAATTGATTGGTTTTTGATTAGGAGATAAATTTGTCATGTATCATGTATTGTTCTTGTTTAAGGATGTAATTTCAGCATTGATTGTTTTTTGCTATTCTTAAACATCAACCCTTTTCATTACTTCTTGAATGGAGTTTGGAACTTCTATATGAGTAGAAACAAGGTGGGCTTGATGATGCCAATTACATTATCGTTTATATTCTTTTCTGCCCTATATAGACTCTAACAATCTTGTGGTTGGTTGAAGAATTCTTGTTGGTCAAAAACAAGAAGGAAGATTTGGGGTTTGGAATGTAGAATAGACTTCATCATCTTCAAGAGGTAAGTTATCTTGATCATTTAGTAATGATAGTTGAGAGAAGTCTTCTACGACATCAATGTGAGAAGGAGGTTGTTCTCTCACATTTGAAGAAGTACTATATATTTGGTTGTTGATCAAATACATATGTTTTTTGTGGTGGTGGCATTGGTGGAGAAGACATGCCTTAAAAAAGAGGTATATTTTTTTCATTGGTCCTTATAGTTATTAAAGGATGTTTGAATAATTCTAAATCTAGTTAGAGTTCTTTATTGTTCTTTTACAAGTATGTGGTTGTTTGTGGATTATATAGATTTTTATTGAAGATAACATCTCTTGAAATAAGAATTTTTTATCTTTGTGTATTTATAAGTCTATAGGCTTTAGATTCTTTACTATAGCCTAGAAAGATAGCCTCTTGTAAATGAGAATCTAACTTCTTTTTTCTTTTTTTAGAAATGAATGCATGAACTTTATAACCAAATATTTTAAGATAGGATAAATTTGATTGCCATTTGTACCATAATTTAAATGGTATTTTGATAACTTATACAGATTTTATAGGGCTCCTATTTTGGAGGTAATTTGTTGTTTGAAGTGCTTCACCCAAAAAAAATTATGTAAGTTTGAATAGGATAGCATTGCAAGTACTACTCTTATTAATGTTCAATTTTTTTTTTTTCAAAAACACCATTTTGTTGTAGTATATAAGTTGTAGTATATTCTTGTTTAATACCTTCTTTATTACCAAATCAAGTCATTAGATGTATATTCACCTCCATGATTAGATCTTAATATTATGACTTTGAAACTTATTTATTTTTCTACAATTTTTTTATATAAGATGAATTTTTCAAATACTTTAGATTTATATTTCATCAAATATACTTGGCAATATCTTATTATTTCATCAAAAATTTGTAATGAAGTAAGTACATTCTGAATGTGTGCCTACTTGTATAGGACCACAAATGTCAGAATGTATAAGTTTAAACAATTGGATAGCTCTTTGTGTACCTTGTGTAGGAAACTTTTCCTTATATTGTTTACCTTCTATGTAAGGTTGGCATAAGATAAATTTTCTTTCATTAAAAGGTTCAATTTCCTTTCCCATAGTTTGTATTTGTTTGAGCCTTTGAGGATTTATGTGTCCTAGTCTTAGGTGCCATAAATCAGCTTTATTTAATTGTATTGTTGTTGAAATAGCAATTTGATGCTTGTTTAAAAGTATTGTTGTATCTAATTCATATAAATCAAGGTTTAATTTGTATATTGCAATGGTTTAACCAAATTGTTTTATAAGTGTAATGGTGCTAGCTCTTATGTGAATTTCTCTTCCTGTCTTATCTAATTATTTGGCAGAGAATAAATTCTTTGCAAGTCCCGGTATATGTAATACATTAGGTATGATCTTCTCATCACCATTTGTAAGTTTGATATTTACATCACCATGTCCTACTATTACGTATGATGTAGTATCATCTCTTAAGTAGACAACTTGTTTGTCTTCACTTTTGATGTATTTAACAAATCGTTCTAATTCATGACATATATGTTGAATTGCTCCCGAGTCTACGCACCACATTGAATTTGGATTTTCTTTAACTATAAGTACTACTACATATAATATATTTGTTTTGTAATAACATTTGTTTCTTTTCTATTATTACGATTTTCATTTGTTATTCTTATTTTGCAATCTTTGATCAAGTGACCTGATTTCTTGCAGAAAAAGCACTTTTTGTCAATAGCAAAATTACTTTTTTCATGTGGTTTGGAGGTACTATTCTCTCCTTGAGAACTCCTTCTGAAACTCTTATTAAAATAAGATTTCTTATTTTTATTTTGAAATTTCTTACATACATATAAGGTTGAATTATTATTAGATGTTAAACTCATGCTTTTCATGAGTATTTTTTCATGGATCAAATCTGTTATTAAGGATGCTAATGTGATCCCAAGCTACCTTCTTAAGGAGCTAATGAAGGATCTATAATTTTGAGGCAAACTTTTCATTAAAATAAGAATTGCTTCATCATTTGGAATTGATAATCATGCTACCAACAATTATTCCATATGAGCTCTAAAAGTATATATGTGTTTAATAACACTATCAACTTCTTTCATTTTTAAGGTATATAATTTTTCTTTTAAATACATCTTAGTTACTACATTATGTGATTCAAATATTTTTATTAATTCTTACTATGGTGAATTTGTTGATTTACAAGATTGTATATGTGAAATAATATTATTTTCTAGGCAATTTTTGATTATGGTTAAAGACAAGGTATCCTTGTCTACCCATGTGCTTATACTCTTACTCCTATGGTAGGTAAAGCTGAGACTCCAGCAGCAATTTCAGCTATTATTGGTTCCATTGGTAAGCATTCTTCACTACTTACTATGGACCATAGCTTTTCAGCCTTGAAAACTAATGTTAATCTATGTTTCTATATATTAAAATATAAACCATCAGATTTTGGAACATGATTGATGTCCACTTTTTGTGTCATCTTCAAAATTCTTAATTTAAAGTAGAATTGAAATTATTTATAAATTTATTTTTGATCAATTCAATTTTATCTTTGCTTATGGATTTTATGTTGCCATTTTCAGGTCTATAATTGCTTCTCATGGTTTGAAGAACTTCAAGTTTCTATTATAATGAATTGTATTGATATTATTCTTATTATAAACTATTTTGTAATTTCAGCAATTCTTCTTTTAATAAAGCATTCACCAAAGCTTTTTCTAAGAATCAAATTTTCTATTGCTCTGATACCATGTTGGAAATAATATTATTATTAATATGATCAATTGATATACAATATATTGTGTGTACAAGGATGACGCCAAGAGTCACAACTCTTGATGTAAGGTCAATACAAAGTAGATAGTATTTTATATAGGAGACTAGTATATTATATAGTATAATTCTCCCAATACCACCATCTTGGTGTAAGGTCAATACAAAGTAGATAGTATTCTATATAGGAGACTAGTGTACTATATAATATAATTCTCCCAATACCACCATCTTGGTGTAATGTCAATACAAAGTAGATAGTATTCTATATAAGAGACTAGTGTACTATATAGTATAATTCTCCAAGTACCACCACCTCAAAGTGATTTATTCATTACTCTGCCAAACTGGCGGACTGAACATGGAACACAAGTGAAACCGAGTAGACCGAGTTGTCTTCCTCACAGATTGAAGTGGTCATCCGTGATTGAATGCATTCACAAGTAGATAGTATTCTATATAGAAGACTAGTGTACTATATAGTATAATTCTCCCAATACCACCAGCTTGGTGTAATGTCAATACAAAGTAGATAGTATTCTATATAAGAGACTAGTGTACTATACAGTATAATTCTCCCAGTACCACCACCTCAAAGTGATTTATTCATTATGCTGCCAAACTGGCGGATTGAGCATGGAATACAAGTGAAACCGAGTCGACCGAGTTGTCTTCCTCACCGATTGAAGTGGTCATCCGTGATTGAATGCATTCACATGTATGAGATGGAACGCTGCTTCAACACGTGGACAGGGTATCTACCCCAGTTAATTGACCAGTTGGATGATAGCAGAGACTATTCACCGGATTTTTATTTATTTATTTATTTTTGCGTGAGTCATCGATTTCAAACGACTTCAACAATCACCAACAAAGTCTATGTGCTCGTTGGAAGTGGGAGGGAAGTGTCGGTCGTGTCGAAGCCCTGGAACAAGTTACATCACCAAGTGGAGGGGACCTTCTCTCCGGTAAACGATACCTAGCAACGAGGCAATATACGTCAAACACCTGTGAGCATGAAGCTATGCAACGGTAATCTGAATGACCGGCGACAGTAGATGATATAACTTGCGCTCACTATCAGGGATTCACAGAAATTCGGACCCCACCAAACGGCTCCAGAATTATAGCCTTGTGAATGACACCGAGATCTACCTGGCAGACAGCAGTGGAATCACGTTGCCGAAGTGCAATAAGTGACGATTGTTAAACACCTCATGTTCTGCAGCTCTGCGCTACTCCTTCTCTTCATTGTCGTCGTCATCTTCGTCTTCGTCTCGCTGTGTCGTAGCATGTTGGCCGCGGGTGCACAAGTTGCTTGTGCTTGTGCCATGGATTCACCGCCACAACTAGCAAGATCAACAACTTGATGGTGCAGTCCAGCTCGGCACCCGAAGCCCAGGTCCACGTCCCTTGCTACGCTGTGTTTGGTCCGATGTTAGACGACCCCGAGGATGCATGTCGGTGAAGCGTGTCAGTGAAGGTTGTCGGTAATCCCTAGTGAGCCTATCGGAAATGCTGACCTGACGTGTCGTGGGGCCTTGCATCTCAAGTATTGCCATTTGTGAGACCATTTTAAAAAAACAAATATTTGTTTCTCTCTTTGAACCACTTCATTTTTATTTAAACTATGGAACAACGTGAGGGGTCAAAACTTTTAAATCTTGTGATTGATTGAAATTAAGAAGTATCTCTTGATTGGCTTTAAGTTTAGAAAAAAATTAGCCAAGAGACCATGAGAGGAAAAGATGAGGTAGAATTTACTATATTCCTATATAACATGAATAATGTTTCTTTATTAGCGTTGTGATAGACCCATCTCAAAAAAAAGTGGTTTTTATAAAATTCAAGAAGTTATGTCAAAAATACATATATATATATATATATATATATAATCACTTTTCAAAGTGGACTTCTAAGCCATCCAAATGCATTACTATTTAGCATTCTACTTATTTTAAGTTATACTTTATATCAAACCTATATATTTTTTTTAAATCATTCTTAAAAAGCTATTTACAAAATTAAATTTCAAAATTTACATAATTTTATAATCAATTTTAAAATATTCTTTTACAAGGTTTTAAATGTATTTTATAATATAGATAGAAGTTTTTTAAAGTTAATTAAGAGCATATTAAAAATATATCCTAACTAAATTAGTATTAATATTTCTTAATTATATTTAATTAAAATTTAAAAAAGAATTAAAAAATGAAAGTATGTTATTTTCAAAATAAAGAAAAAACCATAAAAACCATAAAATATTTTTTGCACTGTAATTCTACTAGCACCACATTGCAAAAGGTACATCTTTGCAAGTTTTGGGTGCTCCAAAGTTATTACAAAACATGTTACATATCATTTTTAATATTTGGATTTATCTAATTAGACTTAATTGGACTTATTTAAATTTTTTAATTTAAAAAATAAAGATAAATACTACAAGATTAGAATGTTTGTATGATAAAAAAAAATTAAAAAATTAAAAACGTTAAAATAATTTTATATAATATGTTGAGATCAGAATAATCTTATTTTTAAAAATCAATTTGACTCATTGAATAAATTATTCATAACTGTAAATAAAAAAATTTCACCTTCTTTTTAACTATATATATATAGATTCCAAATAACAATTTAAATTGCAATGGCTATTTTTTCTAAAGATTTTTATTTTGCTTAATCAGTATTTAAGATGAATATCAAAATTATCTTTTAAATATACAACTCTTGTTGTTAACTATAAAACTTTTATCAAAAAATCATTAATCTTTTTTTTTTTTTTTTTTTTTTTTGGAGTTTTATATCAAAATAATAACAAGCCAATTAGAATATATATTTTAAAAGTTTAAAATTTTAAAAAATTATAAAAAAATATAATATGATTTATTGGTTTTATTATTTAAATACTTTTGATGTTTTAAATTTTCAGATATTACAATTATTACTTTAAAAAATCCAAAAAAAAAATCCTAGAAAATGATTTAATTATTTTTGTAAAATTTCAAGATTTAAGTGATTTTGACAATATATTCTAAATTTAAGAAATATACATAAAAAAATATTAAAGTAATTAAGTGCTTATTAATTTTTTATTTTGAATATTTTTCAAATTACAATGAATATTTTAAATATCAATTAAAAATAATTAATTTTTAAAAGTAAATTTACTAAAGAATAACAAGATACTTACATGACTCTCCAAAAATATTCTATATGTATATGTATGTATGTATATATGTATATATATATATATATATATATATATATATATTATTAAAATTAATATTATTGAATTGAATCATAATAAAATATTTTAAAATATATTATGGTATCATTATATGTTTTTAGTTTATATATATATATATATATATAGTGTATCACAAAAAGTCATATTCTTTGAAATTATCTATTTTAAAATTATATGAATACATATATCTTAAATTAACTAACACCTAGTTTTCTTGTATCATCAAATAATGATGAAACCAGTAATTTTTGTAAGTAATTAAACAATCTTTTTATCAATATTTTCCTGAACCTATTATGCAACAATCTACTAGATCAAAAGCCTATGTATTATGGTTCATATCTAGTTCACTTTATGACTAACTTTCATAAATATCACTGCCTTCAAACTCTTCATGGAAAAAAACCTCAGTCATCCACGCTTTCTTGTTAGACCAATAATAAAAAAAACTCAGCTGTTCGCTTATACAACAGTTGAAGTAGTGAGACTTGTAGGCGTGGCCAATAAAAAAATGGTGGCAATTTGTGGGTTCCATCAACATTCACTGTGAATACAATGGTGATCCATAAATTTCCTTCTTGTAGCCAACGATTTGTTGTTGAGCGATGGTTCAGTTTGGCACCATATTGTAAGATAATCTTGTTTCATCTATGTTATGCACATTGCACAAATCATAACTTGTAATGTAAGCATGCAGAGTAGACATTGTTGCATCAATACTAACTTGATTAGTTGAGCCTACCTCTCCATGCATTCTGATCACTTTCAGCTTATGGTAAGAGAGAAATTACTCAAACCACCCATTTGAAAACTCCATTTTGTCTTCGAGGATTGCAAGCATCTCTATAAAGCATCAATTATGCTCCTTAATGAGCTCTGCTGATAACAACACATTTTGAGATTGCCTTTGTACAACCTATAAAGCAAGTAATTCTTTGAGGTTGGAAAAGTGAACCATTCTTGGGTGCTTTGCTTGTAGCTAATCTTGGTCCATAGCTTCATACTTGTCTTGTTTCTTTAGGATTTTCCTAATAGCAACTTATGAAGGTACTTTTGCAAGCTTAAACTCAGTTTTAGCCCACTTTGCAAGAACTAGCTATAAGATCAAAGGCTACGCATCCCTTTGCTTGCAGATTGGCAATTGCTTGGCATTGGTGAAGTACGACATTATATAAGGCGCACAAGTATTGGGCATGTAGGAAAGAAAGTACTAGGCTAGCAATAAGTAGATACTTGAGCAAATTCATGATTTCAGCTAAAACTAGTAAGTTTTAACCTCCTATAAATTATGTTTGAGGAGGTGGAACTGACCCTAAAACTTATGAGAAGTAATACTATGTGTGTATGTGTGCAATGTTGGGGATTTGGCTTTTTTGAGGGTTAAAACCTGTACAAACTTCAATAAGTATCCTCTCTCTTCCCAAAGACCCATTCCAACATCAAATTCAAAACAAACTCACTCTATCACTGCCTTCAAACTCCAACCTCGGTCTCAAGCACACACAGTGACACAGTGGATAACAAACAACCCACTTGATGTTGAAGGCTCTACAGTGCACACACATTTACACACACACAAATGGTTCAAAACTGGAGGAAAAAAAAACCAAAGTTAGGTAACCACTCCATGTCTCATGCACCCCAACATGTCCTAAGAAATACTTCAACTTCAAGTTAAAAACACTAGATAAATAGTGGTCATAAATGGTACCCAGTTCTGACTGTAGTGTGGATCCGTCAGCCAGACTAGTAGAACTGGGATTGAAAGCCATAGACTTCACCATTTGCGTACGAAAAGATCACAATGAAGAAGTGCAGGGAAAACAAAGAGGGAACATGAAACAGGTGGAAAAAAACGGAAAAAGAAATAATGGTGCAGGGACAAGGGAATGCCGGCTTGGCTTGTTTGTCCAGTGAAGAAGAAGCAGAAGAAGAAGCTGGGTATGACACTGAGACGACGTGTGAGCTTGTGTGTGTGTATGTGTGCACTCTCGGCTTGCGCACCGTTCAACATCGCTCCAGCATCAATCCCTCTTCACCACCACACTCTCTGATTGATTTCCAAGCCTGCTAAGTAAAGCCGTTGTTGCATCTATTGCTTCGTTATTCCAGTCTCAAGCTGTGTGTTTTTAGCCTGCCTGCCTGCCTGCCTGCCTGTCTCTGTATACCAAGTAGGGTTTCCAGCTTCATCGTCTGCGTTGCTGAAGTCAGCTGCTGAATGTTGCCTCGACGCTTCCGTGTTTTTGGTGAGTTGGGGCTGCTGGTTGTGGTTTGGGAGACGGAATTGGAAGGGGTATTGGGAGGTCGTTGTTCGTGGTTGTGCTGTAAGAAGGGTCCAGAGATTCTAGGGCTGGTGGAGTGCACAGCCATTGCAGTGCGATAGTTCGGTACCGTCACTTGGATGCACCGAGTATTTGCTTGCGAATGTGTTGTTGTGTGGACGGAATGTGATCGTTTGAATTGTTGTGGAATGGATCTGAGTACTTTGAAATTCTTGTCTCGTTTATTTATCAATTGTCATGCGTGTGCAAACCAGGGGTTGGTTGGTTGGAAATGGAAGAGCAATGTGAAATTGATAACACTAGAAGCAGCACCTGGTCCATTTCAAGACTGCTCCAGGCGAACGGAGAGATGGGCACTTGAAATAGACTTGTTTGATCCGAGAGACCATGTGATTTGAGGCTTCTTCCGAATAATGCAGGTTTCAAGTCACAAGCTTAAGTCAATACGCTTCCGCTTGGCTGTGGAGACATGTACACCCTAACCGACACGCGTAGGAATTCGGGGATGCAGGAGAGTAGAAGTGATCAATAGGTAGATGCATCCATAGACAGGAGGAAGATAATTCCTCTGTATCTAGGAGTAACGTGGTTTTAGCAGTCAAGCCATGATTTCGTGTGGATCACCCCTCGCAGCTCAGATTGGTTTTCAGGCTGCTAATCTGAGCAAAGACTATTACAAATCTGTGGCTAAGGAGCTCTATGAGGTGCTTATCTTTTCTGAAACGAGGGCTGCCGGGAAGCAGGCAAATAAAATTTTCATATATTCTATTACGAAATTGCCTTGAGCAAGTCAATTTGGCAGAGAATGATCAAAATCTACAAGTGAAACTCGATTTGTTGGCACTTGTTCTTCGAAATTTGATACACCAGCCCAATTCTGGGACTGTGTTATGCGAAGCTTTGCGAAACCTCCCATGTGTTAGTGAAGAGTTTTTTGCTAACCTGTGTAGAGCGCTAAAGCTTTCCTTGCCGGAGCAAATTGCTCTTGGAATTGCTCTTGCAGACGCAGAAGATATTAGTCAACGCCAACAAGGTAAGCTCTAGTGAGGATTTTCTATTGCCTAGTAGGCTGAGTATGGATTTTCTATTGCCTGAAAACTTGCAATGGAGTAAGTGGTAGGGTTTCTGTGTTGATTGAGAATTGATGAAGGGGCGAACGAAAGCGTTTGTTTTGGATTGGTGGCGTGCTCTCCATGTGCTCATGGTAGTTTATGAAAAAGGGCACTACCGTCTGTTCCACTGCTATTTTCACAATGTACAGTGTGATGCTCAAGTGATCATTATGGTTAATGTTAGATGTAAGAGGTTCTTCGAATGAGTGTTTCACATTTATTGGTTCTCGTACGTTTTTTGTTTTTTGTTTGTTTTTGTTTTTGTTTTTGTTTTTTTTTTTTTTTTTTAGTATTTTTTATAATAACATTTAAAGCATGTTGTTTGTAATTGTTTTTCTGAGCTTGCAGGTCAAGCTTTTTTTGAGACGAAGGTTGAGGAGTGGTGTCAAAATCCTATATCAGATTTGTCAGAAGATTTGATTGAAAGAATTTTATGGTGTCTGTTCTCAAATGAATCACTTCTGAATCTCCAGTCTTCCTTTTTTTAATTCCTTGTCTGCTTTGCAACCACTTGCATTTGACTCCTTGACACTCACTCCCTTTCTTAAGGATGCCGTCAAGGAAGTGGAGTGCTTAAGGTATAGTTCCTTTCTCTCTCCAGTTCTGGAATTGCTGTGCTCTACAATCGCTACTGTGATGTTGTTTAAAGTTAATGTGCTTTCTGAACATGGCTCGCATAAAGTGAGTTAGAGGAGGTTCAGAGCATACATGGGCCATTCTGTAATGTAATTTGCAGTGGAGAGCCGATATCTTCAAAATTGAGCACTTGGCACGTGGACATTGTTTAGGGTGCTATTAATCAACTGGTGAGCTCCTGCTTTCTTTCTTTTCAATGCTGAGAATTTTCGTACAATCGATTTACTCAGGTAGTCATATCTCATAGTTATCTTTATATGGCGTCTACTCTGTAGTTGCTACCTGTTTAGCGAATTCTCCTGTAATTGGTTCTTTCAGTGTCTCTTCTTTTTACCTTAGAAGGATTGAAATAAAGTTTGTAACGAGGATATGACTATGAGGGTGATACTAACAAACCTATTGAATGACGTCAATTTGGGGGGGGGGGGGGATGCAGCATACTTTGTTACAATTTGATGCTCAAATTATTTACATTTTACAAGAATGTTCTAATGCTGTATTTTGATAGTATGTGACAACGTTAATATGTGTTTCAGAACCCGAGTTTGAATTGGAGTTTGATAGTATCGAGGCTAGATTACGAGGGTTTTTATCTGCCCGATGAAAACGCCTTCATTCTATTCATGACTATGTACAAACTGGGGTGTGAGGTAAGTTTCATGTGTGAAACGATATTTGATCTGTATTACATGTTTTTTGCACATAGATTTTCTTACTAGATTGGAGAACTGCATGTATCGGTGAAATCCCGGACTTGGTATAAATGTCGCATTATATTTATTCTTTTTGTGAGCAGGATCCTTTTCCTATCGATGCTATCTGTGGCCATGTGTGGAGAAATGATGAGGGCCAATTGTCTTTCTTGAGACATGCAATTTTATCGGCTCCAGAGGTTTTCAGTTTTGTTCATTCGACAAGGAAACTGGTACGCTTCAATTATTTTTGTAGTTCTTACGGTGAATACATTGCTAACTATGTTGAAACAACATCATGTGTCATTACCATCCTTTTGGTTTTAAGTAAGTGAAGAGATTCACACCGTACATATGTTTAGAATTTTATCAGGGACTGAACCAGGTACTTGGAAGTGTGTGCCCATTATTAATTGTCAAACAGCAATGAATGCAAGGACCTGTGCATGGTAGTGACGTTTGTTGTTTCTCAGACTGAATATGTTTTTTGCGCACAGCCCACAGTACATCTTTGTCAATTCTCTTAGTGGTTGTCCTGGTTGGCACTGGCAGATGGAGACTTCAGAGAGAAAGTTGAAATCACCCAACTATGCCTGGCTTTCTCTAGATCTGGTTGAAGTACTTTGTCGCCTTGCAGAGACGGAGCACGTTGATGAGATTCGGGAGATTTTGGAATTTCCACGTCACCACTGTCCAGAGCTTCTGGCTCTGAGTCTTGTGCAGATCAACAGTGATGTATCTTTGAAGGTATGTTATTCTTAACCCTTGTATGATGCAACGGTGCACTGTCACTTGCCTGCACCTTAGGGACTATAGGGTCTTTGAAGGAGCTCTGTTTACACCTGTATGCAGCCACTTTTCGTGGTATAACCAGTATCTTTGATTATTACTATGGGAGTGCAGGGATCTCAACAAAGCTTTCAAGAGGAAATGCTTTCTCGGATACTTGGACCATTATTCTCACAAGTTACTCTCAGTGCCGAGGGGGAGACTCTTGATCCTTTGTGGAGTAAGCTTTGGGCTTTGAACCCAGAAATTTTGAAAATGGAAATGGTGAATCTCCTCTTCTCGAAGGATCACTCTGTATACGACCAGGTCTTGCAGGTCTGCAAAAGCTTGAAGTTTTATTAGCGTTTATATAGCCTCCATTGAATGTTTTTAGTTAACATTAGTGATTTAACGTAATGAAACATGGATCTTGCTTCCTCTCTCGCTTTTTATAGGTGATCTTCTTGGCAGATTGTAGCACTTCAGGGTTTCTTTTGAACTTGTTGACAACTTTTTTGTAAAGTTTCATATTACCGTATGTGCTGGCCGTTGAATTCATATTTACTGAAATTATTGATGTCAATGAACTCATGTGTTTCTGCATGTCCTCAGATGTTCTCGTTTGCAATACAAGCATTGGATTCATTTCGTGAACGACTAAGCGAGTGGCCTGAATTCATTTACCATATTCTAAAAGTACGGCACATTCATGAAGCCCAGAATGACATTCTAGACTACATTATGAACATAGTTAAAGAAAATCAGGCAGTTGATCCAAGTACAGCTGTTAATGATTCTAATGTTTGCTCTGTGGTAGCACGTCCGATAATTGTAAAAGCCCCGACGAGCCTTTTGCAAGATACTCAAGTTGGAGTTCGCAATTTGAAATCAGCGGTTGACTTTGTCTATCCAGCTGGGAATAGGTTCTCTGGCTCTCAGTCACGATATCTATCAGGACAGGTGGGTGATGAATCATGCATGGGGAAATTAGAGACTAAAGCTGTTAGTTTTATGATTGTAGAAAACTTCTAGGGTTTTACGTTATTTTTTTACAATGATATGTAGCTTCTGATCTTTGTGCTCTCTTTTCCTCATTGTCGAGGTACTCCAGTTTCCTTGGTGGTCCTTACAATTGTTTGGTTCATCTTTTAGGGTTTAGATTCTTTTCTTCAAATATCTGCTAGGAGTTTCTCGTCAACGGCCGAGGCACAATCGCAGAACAGTACTCAGTCTGTTCCACAAGCATCTTTAGATTCCTTGTTATCGTTACAGTCAGGATTTGGCACAAATTCTCAATCACCCTTTCAACCAATATTCCGTGCTACATCTGTAACACCTACACAATATCAACCTTCTCAACCCTCAGCTGAAGAGACGGCTAACAATGTAATGTCCGACGCACAAGCGAAGCAAAGTGCGATCACTCCAAGCTCGCAACCCAGTCGAACTACTGAGACAGTAGTGTCATCACAGCATTCAAGTGCAGAGGCTACCAGCCTTTCTGCAGCAGCTCGTGATTTTCCTTTTTCAGCAGCCTCAAATGGTCACACAGCAAATCAAGCTCACATTCGGACTGGCACGAGGTCTGGAAATGCTTCAGGTGAGGCGATATTCGTATCAGTGCTGTATTTTGAATTTTATATAGTATGTGGTTGAGTATATTCCCATGGAACTAGGTTTAACGTTATGTTCGAATCGGTCATCTTGAGCATGTTGAAACAAACGAATCACCTTCTAGCAGTGAACTTCCATTTCTTGTAACTCATTTGTAAGTGTTTGTTTTAGTACACGGAAAGATGGGCCTGATTATCATCCCACATTACACTTTCAACCTAACTTGTATGTTCATTGGTAATTACCAGCCGTGCTTTCGATCATTCTTACTGCCCTTGGCAACGTTTGTTTAAATTGTTTGATATATCAGGCTCATTTCGCATAGCTATTTCTGGATTTGGACATGCTCTTAACATAGAGACCCTTGTTGCTGGTGCTGGTAAACGGGACAAGCCTATTGAGGTATTTTACTTATACGCAATAGTACGAATTCTTACTTGCATGTGGAGACGTACTGAAGCTCCACTTCGTTAGCTGATATTCGGTCTATCTACTTTGAGATGTGTATATTGTGTACGCCCAACAATTGACTAGTCACTTTTGTTCCAAGTTTTAATGTTTTGATAATTGGCATCTGGTCATTGCTTTGCATATCGTTAATTTTTCAGTAGATTTCGGCAACTTTTTCCATTTTTGTTTCTGTTTTTCTCAGGCACCAAGTTCAGAGATACAGGATAAAGTAGCATTTATAATTAACAACATATCTTGGACGAATCTGGAAGCTAAAGCGGAGGAATGTGCTGAAATTTTGGAAGAGTACTATCCATGGTTTGCCCAATACGTTGTGATGAAAAGGTAAGCATAGATTTTCTTTTGTTTGTCATGTGCGCCCTTGCAAGACTTTGTTATTTACAAATCAAGGCACTCCTTCTGGGTCAAGAAAAAGCTTCTTTCTGTTCCTGGTATGACAATTGTATTTTGATTGACAGAGCAAGCATCGAACCAAACAATCATGACACGTATATCAAATTTTTAGACAAGATGGATTCAAAGGAGTTGCACAAGGAAGTTCTCAGGACAACCTATGAAAACTGCAAGGTAAAAGCTTGAAAGAACTTTTAACTTTTTGGTGCACTCTGGTTAATAAAACATGTCAAGTATGCTGATTTTTGAAATTTTAAATACGCTCTTGTAACTTACTGCTTTCCTTTGGAATGTGAGTAGATCCAAGTGTTCCTAGGTGTCCCTAAAAACGACGTTATCATGCTGCTTGAGTCTGCAGTATAGGTATGTTTTGGAAAATTTCTTACTATGGGGCATTTTTTTGCCAGGTATTATTCGCCTCCAACTTGATTAAGACTCACTCGGAGGAGAGGTCACTTCTGAAGAATTTAGGAAGTTGGCTTGGAAAGTTAACCATTAGGCGGAATCAAGCATTGAGAGCCCGCGAACTTGACCCGAAGTCTCTAATTATCAAGGTACTTTTGACATCTGAAACTCAAGCTGCATAAGCTGCTTTTGTTTCATTAGATTTATGTGTGTAATCAAGTGGTGCTCCACATGCATTTTAGTAGAAACGGCTTTTTCTGGAACGTTTTGAATCACTCTTACAATTCTTTTGTTTTCACCTAATTTTTTGGAAGGTGTTCAAAATAAGCTTCCTCAGCATATATGGCGTGCATGAGCTTTCGAAACTTCAAACGTTGTGGATAGTTATTTTGTACTGTAGTCAGAGGCTGATCCCTTTTCTATTGTTTAACAGATTACTCGTGTCGTAATTAGATAACTTTGAATGAATCGTCAATGTTTATGATGAAGCTGTTCATGTCACTAATCTGATGTGAATGATGTTTACCTCATTCCTTTTGTGTGCAGGCATATCAGAAAGGACTTATGATTGCAATAATTCCATTTACATCTAAGGTGCGAATTGTTAGAGCTAGTCACATGTCTTGAATAGGGAAATGATTGAGAATGAAAATACAATCTTGCAAAATGAGTACTAATGGAGTCTGAAGCATAAATTGATACGGTTCCTTGAGACAACGAATTGTCGGGCTGCAGAATTGTAGTATGTTGTTTTACAATTTGTATTTTCTTCACTTCATACGTCTTTCACAGGTACTGGAGTCCTGTAACCAGAGTCTGGCTTACCAACCTCCGAATCCATGGACTATGGCAATACTAAGCTTACTTGTGGAGATTTATAACTTACCTAATTTGAAGATGAATCTCATGTTTGATATTGAGGTAATGTTTCGACACAGGTTCTTACCATTTGAAATCTGATTCTTCTAAAAATGTATGTAGTCTGCATGGAATCTCTAGCCCTTCAGGTTTTTATATACTTATTAATTCGTGATAAAATTATATGTCTGCAGGTTTTCATTTGCACATGTTAATCGCTGTTTTAATTTTTTTTCGACTTGGCTTAAGAAATTTCAACTAATATTTTTTTTCTAACATTTTCAGGTTCTTTTCAAGAATCTAAATGTAGACGTGAGGGAAGTAAAGCACTCGAAGCTTCTCGAGGGACTGGAGCGTGAGGTGGAAGGGAATCCTGATTTTTCAAACAAGGATCCAATATTTTCCCAGTCACCGTCACCAGCCTTGTCGGCAAGCAGTTCTGCACCTACTGTGCCTGTACCATCTCTACCTCAGCAGTTGGACATGCCTCCTGAACTTCCGAGTGTCATCCAGCCTGCCACATCATTGACTTCATCGGTAATTGCACAGGTTTGTTTGCTGTGGGCGTTGCTTCTGCAACTATAGACGTTTCTTTTTTTAGTTTTTGTATTATCTCCTTCATGATCCAAGAGGCTTTTGTTCACAAGAGGTGTTGTTTTCAGTTAATTGGGGAAGAAAGACCATCACTTGCACTGGAGCGCGCTCAGAATGTTCAAGCTTCGTCTACTCCATCTCAACCATCGTTCCCGTCCACTCAAGTACGTTATCTCCGTCAGGAATTTCTGTTTGCTGCATCTTTTTTGGGTATGTTTGTGGTTTCGGATGCTGACATAATATTGTTGGACAGGCGTCTATGGCAATTCCTGATTTGACATCTTATGTTGTTCTAAATGCGAAATTAGCTGGACTTGGTCAACATCTCCAGCTTGCGAGGTACATACATTAATGACTCTTATTTTTATCAGTTAGTATGAAGCAATCATTTAATCAACTTCTGAATCTTCTCAGAATTGACTTCAATACACTAGCTTGAATTAGACTTTTGTAACACAGTATTGACTGGATAGTATTAATTCACTGAACTACGTACTACGCTAGACTGTGAGAATTGCATTCATGCAGCGTTTAAACTGAAAAATGAAGCATGTTTTGGATTGCAGGGTTGTTCCTGTGGCCATGGAGCGCGCTATTAGAGAGATTATAAGCCCAGTAGTAGATCGTAGTGTGACTATTGCTTGTACGACTACTCGGGAGCTTGTGATGAAGGTTAGTTCTATATCTTTCTATTTGGGTGTTTGAATAATACATCCGGGGAGTGCAATACGAGTAAAACTAGGTACTTCTGCCTTAATCTATTGTTGCATGCAGAAGATAAGAAGTAAGGATTATCCACAGTAGCATGGCACAATATTTGACTTTGCGCTCTCCTATCGAATTGTCTCTAATCTAATGTTATTTTCCTGTAAGATTATGCAATGGAATCGGATGAAAATCGCACGAACCAGTCTGCTAATTTGATGGTAGCTAGCCTGGCTGGCAGTTTGGCCCATGTTACCTGCAAGGTATAGCACAAGAGCTTTGACGTTCAGGTCCCTTGCCTCTGTAGTGATAGAAGTAGTAGTTTTGAGCATCTGTTTGCAATTTTTTATGATGTGCACTATCGTTTATTACTTGAATTACTTTCAAGTTGCTATTCTCTTCTGAATTCTGATTTTTAAATGTAATGCCAAAGAACTCGTCGCCTCACTTGTTGCTTGTTTCTTTGGCAGGAGCCTCTGCGAGTTGCCATGGCAAATTATTTGAGAACTTTTCTGCAGACAGCTCTCGCCCAAGATGTGCTAGAGCAAGCTGTAAATTTAGTCACAAATGATAATCTGGACTTGGGTTGTGCCGTGATTGAGAAATCCGCAACTGAGAAGGTGTGGTTCCCATCTTGGTACATTGGGGATTAGTTTTCAGGTTATGAGAAAATGATGTGTGTTTTTAATTGCAGCTGATGGAAGCTATCAAAGATACTCTCTTTATTATTTGCTATAAGGAATGTTTATGTTACTATGGAGTGTTGACAGGCGCAACGGGATTTAGAAGAGGTGATTGCACCCGCCTTCGCACAGCGAAGAGCCGACAGAATACGCACGGGTTCTGCTTATCATGATAATTATATGTTTACAAATCAGACTCTAAGTAATCTTCCTGAGACCCTGCGTCCAAGACCAGGACAATTATCCATTACACAGGCACGGGTGTATGGGGTATGTGTCAATATTTTGTAATTTATGTAACTTTTTGAATGCTGTGATCTCAAAAGTCCTGTGTGAAATGCTCTTTGCTTTTATCACATTTACGTCTTTGCTATTTCGAACCGAATGTAACTCCATGTTTGTTGATGTGAATTGATTTTGGTAGGATTTTAGATGTTATTCATTGGGTCGTCGCATTCAGGACTAAATATTATTCTGTTGAGTTCCGATGGGTTGTTTGTTGGCAGGATTTTGCTCGATTTCCTTGGCAGAATCAGTCAAGTCACGCACCTGTAACGATGGCAGGTCCTCCAGGTATCACTAATCTTTCAGGGAGAGGCATTTATTCTGTTCCAGGTCGTGACCCTGGTGCTAATTCTCGTGCGTCATTGAATGGAAATCAATCTTCATCAGTACTTGGAGCAACGGCTCAAGTTTCAGATCCATCATCTGATGAGATGGACATTACAGAACCATCTCCGCTAAGGTTTGCTTCTATAGTATTTTGTCTTCACAGAAGTTTTCTTCTAGTTCTCATTTAAATATTTAAGTGAACAGGGACTGTATATAATTGTAGCTTGAAAGAAATTGTATCTTCAGTGATGGTTTAAGATCAACCTTATGATATGGGCGTAACGCATTGAGTCGTATCCTGTATCATTACGTGGTTAGGGATCTTGAATTTTCTCAGAAAATTGATACCAAGTGGCTTGTGTGCTCTATTTCATCGTGCAGTTTCAGCTCGATGGCTTGTGCTGGTGGAGCGGACGCACAAGCTAGACTCTCTCAAGAGACCTCCCTCTCCTTCCCCATACATTCCAATTCATCAACTCCGCCTCCAGAATTCAATGTGGTGGAGACCCCAAGTGCCTCGAAGGTATGATGGTGATTCCTTCATTTCAGGATTTGAAACCTGTGAAGCAGGGCAGAAGAATCGTATTATAAGGTGGTAGTTTTAAAAATTAAAAAGCGAATTATCCTACATTTTTTTCTTTTCCGTTGTGAAATTGTTCGTCACCTGAATAAGGACTGCAGGGTATGCTGGGATCTACACCGTCTTCTACGCCACCTTTGCCTGCTGATTATGTTGGATCTACTGCGCAAGAGCCTTCTCTAACCACTGGAGAGGCTTTGGAGAAGTTCAGTGTAGTGGCACAAAAGGTATGCTCAACGGCATTCACTTGTGGAGGCAGGTAGCATGAATATTATATATGTCTACTATTAACAAGCGACTTGGTTAGTATGCACTGTTAGTTGGTATTGTTATAGATTACCAGAGTGATTAACCAGCTAGGTTACTAGAAAACAGTAGCAATATATATATATATATATATATATATATATATATATATATATATATATATATATATATATATATATATATATATATATTGCCACGAGGGTGTTCAAATACCTTGAGTTTATGAGGGTGTGATGCCATCAAGTCTGCAGCGATGTTTGCCTGAAAGCCCAGGTTTCACGTACAGATGGTTATTCCCTACTGAGGTGATCCCTGTGTAGTTGTTGATAAAATTTACCTACAGTGAAGTTTGTGGTTTAGGGTAACGATTTTCTTTGATCTGGTAGAGAGCCTGACAATGGTGGTGGTTTTCAGTTGGATCTTTTACTCTTAAGGGCAACCTCGTTTAGCTCTTCGTCTCCTCGCTTGATGATGAAGTGCGGGTAGGACTTGCAAGTTCATGCTTTATACTGTATTTAATTAATTGAGTTGAATATATGAAGTGTTTTCAGGTTTAATTCAATTGATATTAAAAAAAAGTCGTGTTTGGGTTTTACATCTGATGTGGGGTTTCCTTTGCAGGCCCTGGCAAACGAGGTGCCCGAAATCATTTTGCAGTGCGTTAGTAGGGACGAGGCAGCTTCAGCAATAGCTCAGATGGTCAGCTGCGGATTTAAACCTGGAGACTTATGTGTGCATGATACTGTTTGAAACCGTTGCAGTTCGTGGTGGTGCGTCACATGTGTATCTGTCTAATTGATTGAGTGCTTTTTTGGGATTAGGTTTTTAAGCGTCTATATGACAACACTACCAGCCAAATACATGTACTAGTCCACCTCAACATCCTGGAATCCATTCGAGACGTGTGCAGGAGAGTGGTCAAGGAATTGACTAGCTGGGTAATTAAAAATCTTTCTTCCTTTTGTAAATTGCTTGTGTTATTAATGTCGATCCCACATAATGGTGTTAAAGGTTTGATCATATGAGCAGTCTTGATTGAGTGTTTTCTATGACATTATTGTGAAATTCGTGTCTATGCTTGACATCAACGTTCTTTTGTTTTCAGGTTGTCTACTCTGATGAGGATCGCAAGTTCAATCGGGAAATTACTGTTGGTTTCATCAGATCTGAGTTGATCAATTTGACAGACTACGGTTTGCACCTGACAAAGTGTATTGATGGAGGCCGGAACAGTAAGCTTCATATCATCGTTGAAAGCCCTGGTGGATTGGTAACTGCTGTTTTACTTTGTGTCTCCTATACCTGTTGGGTTTCAAGAGATGATGAGCCCACGGTAGAATTGAGCCAATAATCACCTTATTTTTCTCGGCCCAAGACAACCTCTAATCTGGTGTTCATTGTTGTGGGATACAAAGCGTGTTGGGATTTCAAACTTATGAATTTCAACTGCATTGTGCAGATGACGCAGTTTCTTTTGCAGCGTACCTCGTGAAGACGTGTGTCATTGAAGAGGCAGGTGTTACTAGCACAGAGTTTTACAATGTGATCGAAGCTCTTGGGAAGGTGAGCTTTAGCCTTGCTTTTTCACTCCCTGAATTGACGTGTAGATTCTTATTGGAGTTCAATCGTGATTTATGTTGAGCCACAGTTATTTTATCCTAATCATAATCACTGCTAGTTTGAGGCTCACAGTATTTCTATTTTATTTTTCATTGCGGTTGCAGCTGGCAGCACGACCAGGCACTCCTGAGTCATTGCAGGAGTTGGTGGAAATTGCAAAGGGCACACCAAGTACAAACAAAGATGATAAAGGCAGGCTATCTAAAGAGAAAAAGGTGTGGCTTCTTTCTGCAGTGACTTAATTAAATTTATTAAATTAAAGATCTCATCATCACTTTATTCATAGATTTTTCATTTGTAAGACAAGAAGCTTCTTGTTGTTCTTTTCTTTCGACATCGTATCATATTTGTGTGTCGATTCGTAACTTTTCCCACTTTGGATTGTTTGAATAGGAGTTGGCTGAGAGTCATTGTTTGAACTCGGAGACTTCACACCCTGTCACTGTTGGAAGCGAGTCCAGGCTGCAAGAAGGATCAAACATGTCATTTGCAGCCATTGATATGGTTGCAAAGCTTGTTGTTTTGTTGGTGAAGGTAAACTACTCAAGAGTTTAACCTTGTGTCCTTTGTGTTGGTTAATTTTGCTTCATTTCTTTCTTGTATTTCTACTTGTGCTGCTCATGGAATTCTGACCTATTCATCCTGGCTAGTCCAGTGTTCCACGGTTCTATACCTGCATTATACTCAAAAAACTGGGAATATTGTGTTAATGTCATTGGATGGTATTGAGCTGATTAATTCTACAAAGTTACATGGACTTCGAGATTGTGTGTACTTTATTATTTAGTTCCAAGGATTATTTTTCCTGTACTTTAATTCTAATGCTGGTGTGTTGGTTTTCAGTACTCATCTGAGCCATCCCTGAATAAGGTCAATCTTCTTACTAGGGTAAGTTTAAATCTCGATTTCAATCTCATTCAACGGAGGCTTTATCCTATTCATATTTTGTTAGGCTTAGCAAATAACTTTGCTATGATTAGTGTATCTTGAGATGTCTGGTAGAGTCTTATTTTGACGCACTTACGGTCGTGTTGTATCACCAGGTTTTAAACGTGACAGTCCGCACGATGAAAAGGGACCATGACCGCAAAGCAGGGTTCCATCCTCGCCCATACTTCCGCCTCTTTGTCACATGGCTTATGCATTTTAATTTAACAGATTCCACCTTGGATTCAAGTAATTATCAGGTATTGAGGGGATCTGTCGTTTTATTTTCCTTTTCCAGTTCCCGAAAAAGAGAAAGCCTGTTTCATTCTTGCATGTGCAGTATGATTGATTTTTGACGAAGTTTTATTTTGCAGGTTTTGCAAGCTTTCGGATATGCATTTTTGACTTTGCGACCGCTCGATGTGCCAGGGTTCAGGTATGCGCGACGCTCGTATAATTTGGATTAAGAGAACTTTTAAAAGTTTGTGTTTTTCAGTATACGAAATGGTGATGCTTTTGGGGATTCCCGTGCAATGTTCACTGATATTATAATCCTATGTTTCTGTTAGTAGCTTGGCGTGGTTAGAGCTGATTAGTCATCGAACATTTATGCCGAAGTTATTGTTGAGCAACGCGCAAAAAGGATGGTCTTTATTTCAGAAGTTGCTAGTTGCACTATTCAAGTTTATGGAACCATATCTTCGAAATGCCAACCTAAGTGAACCTGTAAGTATGCATGCCTGAGCACGTAACTTGTTAAGCATTATCGTGTAACTACTCCCCCACAAGCTTGCCAAGGTATCAAGACACTTGAGTTCCAAACAAATATACCAGCTGTGGGTGAACCATGCGCTGTTGCTTCATTTGGACTCGTTTAATATGACAGCTTCCTTTCCTTCCAACTATAATCATGTTTATTTGGTTGAGCTCAATGTTCTTCGATATGGGCTAAGCACGCACATTTTCTTGTATGTTCGGCTTATAATTTGTACATGTATCTTGTATGTCCATTCACCTGGGACTAAATCTGATCATATATATATAACCTGGTTTCGGCAGGTGCGACTGCTTTATAAAGGCATGTTGCGAGTTCTTCTTGTGTTACTTCACGATTTCCCAGAGTTCTTATGTGAACATCACTTCAGCTTTTGTGATGTCATTTCGCCATCTTGCATTCAAATGCGCAACTTGATTCTAAGTGCGTTTCCTCGCAACATGCGTCTTCCTGATCCATTTACTCCCAATCTCAAAGTAAGACCCCGAGAATTACTAACAGATGTAGTGTTTATTTGGGTTCTCTACTTCAAGCGCGACTTTGGCTTTGTTATTCTGTAAACCGTTTACGTGTTCTGACAACTGGAAATGTTTTGAAATGATTAACGTGAGGTGTTACCGTTTGAGATTAACTAGCTCTTGTTTGTCATTTGGGGGTTCTAGGTTGATTTGTTGCCAGAAATATCTCATTCACCTCGTATTCTCTCAGATGTTGAAACAGCGTTGAAATCGAAGCAGCTGAAAAGCGAGGTTGATGATTTCATTAAGGTAAGCATGAGTGTTAATTCTAAAAAATGGCAAATACAGCGCAAATAGACGCCCTACGCCTCAGTAACTTACATATTATCTAACCTCTTCGAACTTGAACTGAGCAGAACCGGAATCAACAAACACTCACATCCATGGACTTGAAGGTACGATTGACTCTGTTACCTCAGGAGGCGCAAGCTTCTGGCACACGCTACAACGTGCCTCTTCTTAACGCTTTGGTGCTTTACGTCGGAATGCAGGTATAGCAGTGGCGTTTTTGTGGATCTTGTCAACAAATTCAATGTCTTGAATTGTTTTGACCTGAGTGTCGTCATGTTAGATATGTGGAAGTCTTTGGTTTTGGTCAAAAGTAGCGTATACAGTGCATGAAAGTATTGTATCAATGCTGCTCTGATTTATTATAGACGTTTAGTTTCTAAGTAGTTTGATCAAGTTTCTAATCACTAAAGACGACTCTCTTGTGAGTAGGCTATTCAGCAACTTCATAGCAAGACATCACAGCAGGTGGCAGCACTCACGGCTCCTATTACCCACAGCGCTCCAATGGACATATTTGAGCTACTTGTCAATGACCTTGACACCGAAGGGAGATATCTGTTTCTGAATGCTGTGGCCAATCAGCTGCGCTACCCCAACAATCACACATATTATTTCTCGTGTGTTCTTTTATTTCTCTCTGCTGAGGCATTAGTAGTAAGTACTCTTCCTCTGCATTCAAGCCTCTGGCTTTATTTACGATAGCCGAACACGTTAGTTTCACGTTTGAGGGATCAGTGCTAAGTGCTCACATTTACGCTTTGTGTTACGTTTTCAGGACATCGTCCAAGAGCAGATTACTCGTGTGCTGCTGGAAAGATTAATTGTCAATCGGCCACATCCTTGGGGCCTTCTTATTACCTTCATTGAGAGCTCATCAAGGTATATGCTTGTCTACATTGTTAATAGGCAATCATGCAACCCTTAATTTTTTTGCTGGGGTGAAGCTATGTTGAATGTGTTGAGTTTGTGAATTTTTTTTTGCAACACTGACTAGTATGTGGCTTTCAGAATCCACGTTACAGCTTTTGGACACACAGCTTTACACGTGCTCCAGAGATTGAAAAGCTATTTGAGTCAGTGGCTCGATCATGTATGACTACTACATTGAAATCTAGCGATGATGATCTGTCCGGAATTCCTCCAGCTGACCGCCTGAAAGAGTGAGCTCCCACTTCGGCAGATTTCCACATGCATTAATTGAGGAGCTGGGCAGTCATATAAAGACTTTGGGCACGGTTAGATATCCCATTTAGCCAACGGAGTTACACCTGATACAAGGATGAATGTTAAGACATTCAAGGTGTGTGAAAGATGGTGAAGCTAGCTAATTGAGGAATTGAGTAGCTTAGGCTTGTATAGGCTGCCAATACTTGTCATCCATAGTCAGTTGTTGATCGCTTTTCTCATATATTCGTAGTTTTCCTGGAGCACTAAAGCCAAATGGCCATTAGATCAGCTGTACATTATTGTAATTTAAGTGTGTTTATTGAATTTCTACATTTTTGGATTAGTCTCCTTAAATTATTTTGGTTATCTCTATCTAGCACGTTTGATTCAATCTCCATTAGTGAAGGTAGTAGAGTTCCATAGGATTATCTTATACGTGACTAACAGAGGCATCTTAAACTCGGGAGCTATTTTGCATTGCTGATTCTCTAGCATCTCACTCTAATTCTGAGCTCCTGATTGCATAGGGTAATTCAACCAAGTTATTGCTGCAAGCCTTTATTATGTCGTCTTTGATTCTTTTCCTCTTGGTAGGAGTTGGAAATGGTGCAGGTAACTCTTTTGTGCACCAAACGGCATAAAATCATTTTCTAAATACGCAATGAAAAATAAATGTATATACATATACATGCATATATATGGTGATAAATATATATATATATTGGAAAATATGTTGAAATATCAAGAATACCCTTGTATTCTTGATTATAGCGAATAGCAAATATACACCTCATTTTTTGATAATTGCAAACTACCCTTGAGCTTGATAAGGTGTAATTCCTATTTTAGGTGTTGTAGCCTTGGCAATGGCGGCAGCTTGGATGGTCTGACTATGGGATCAAACACCTTCAATGTATGGGCACAAGCATAAGCTCACAACCCAAAGAAAGCAAAAATTCAACAACCTAGTCAGAAACAAGTGCAAGTAGTGAGGGAGTTGTGCATGTATTCATTGACATGCCCTTGAGTAAGATTTTATGTGGTGCTCAACTCGTGGACACCGAGTTTCAATCACCATAACAGCATGATTGTTTGCAACACGGAAGAAAATTCCGTTCAAATAGACATTGGAGTTTGTAACTGTGGTGACTATGTTCGCAAGCAATTGCTAGGCTTGTTTGCTCCACCTGCACAACAGACAAGACATGGAAATGTGAGCGATTCAATTTCTGCGGTCAACCTTAGACTACAGGGCAAGGAGCTTAGAGTAATTTCTCATGCGGGCATAGGAGCAAAGAACACAGCTTGCAGAGCAGCCAAACAATACATAGAACTCATAATTTGAGTCGGCGTATTTGTGGTTTCGTAGTCAGCGACCTGGCGAATCTGAAGCATGGAAAGGGATTGAGCTTGGAAGTGTCGAATTTCACACTAGTGACGGTGAAGTTCAGAGCTAATTGATTGAACTTGCAGGCCTTGACGTTGGTCAGATTGCGGGCTTCAGCATTACTTAGCACCCAACTCTTGATTTTGATTACAATTGTTAAGAGTATGCCACGTCTTTATCATTTCTCTTTTTCCAATATGCTTTCAATTTTCGCCTTGAACATGCATTTCAACTTTTCTATCTATTGATACATTAGTATTGCCACACCAAAGCATGTAAACCTGAAAATAACACAATCTTTCATCTTATAGTGGCAGAGGTGTTGACATTACAGGTCCACTAAATATACGTATAAGTATTTAGACATAGGTAATGATGAATGATTGTAGAGCCAATTGAGAGAGAGAAGAAGAAGAAGCAAAGAATGAAACTACTATTTACGATATAAGGAAGAAAAGAATGGATCATAATTTCACCTTTACATGTATACACATATACTAGGCCCTGTTCTTTATTATTATGATTATTATTATTATTATTATTATCATCATCATCATCATCATCATCATTGTCTTTTATTGGTATCATCCATCCAATAAAGAGAATCAAGCAAGAAAATCAACACTATTTTTCAAAACATGTGTGAAACATGCATGCATGAATGAACGAGAAAAAAGCATGGAAAAGTACATAAAGAAATTAATAAACGATTTGGTGTGGATGGAGGTTATTTGAGGTCTATTATTATTTTATTCATGAAGTAAATATGAAGGATAAGAAAGGTCCCCCATTCCCTCTTGGTGGTAGTAGCTCATCCATTCCATTGGGGCGGCTTGTCTTGGCTGGTTTGAGAATGTCCATTGAATTCAACACAATAATAATAATAATATATTATTATATGAGGGGGTCTCACCACTGCCCACCCCGAAGTCGGTTGACAGCGTAAATGAAAAAGAAAAATCCTTTTCATTTTGTTCACTCTCACTCTCTATATATAGATATACAGATAGAGGGGGACGGGCTGACATTGACAATATCAACCACAATCCCTCACTATCTCTCTCTCACTTGGGGTGGGTGTGAGATAGTGTAGAACATGCCCCACCTACACCACCACCATATATTCAGTATTCTTATTGATAACTAAAAATTTTACAAATATAAAAACAAGGAATGAAATATCTATCAGTCTACATCCCCCCCCCTCTCCCCTTTTGTGTTTCTACCAATTGGGTTTGCTGCTTTAATTCACCACTCAGATTTTGCCCCACTTCATGAGAATCAGTTCCAACCCTCTCATAGGCTGCAAAGTAAAGCAAAGCACCTCCCCTTTGCTCAATGCCTCTCATCTTCCATGTTCATCCTCCTCCACCTTTGGCTACAGTGGGATCCAGCAACACATGGCTGCCCAGTTGCATGGCCGGTGCTGGGGAAGGAAGGAAGGAGGGAGGGAGGGAAGGGAAACAATGAAGCAACCCCCACCTATTCTCACCCCCCCTCTCTCTCTCTCTCTCCTTTTAATTTGCCTTTTGCATTTCCTTTGATTTTTCCTTTGGCTGGCTGTGTCTGTGTTTTGATTTGTTTATGTTTTGTCTCACATGGAGAGAGCACTTGCATTCCAAGTTTGCCTTATTCAACTTCCATTCTGTGTTGCCACCACACCCCAGATCCCAATGTAATCCTATACTCCTGCATTTTATCCTGAACAAGAGGAGGGCTGCCTACAGAGTGAGGGGGGGGGGGGGCAAAGATATTTCTAATAATAGATGAAATAAAGTAAAATAAAATTGCTTCCAGGGCATCCCTGCTCACACAACCTCCCTCAAATAATCCAAGGTTTGTTCTATGCACTGTTTTGTGAATGTGGGTATACACCCACAAATGAGGGATCCAATAATCTTCATGGATAAAGCACCAAACCAATCCATGTCTGCAGATGTTGTTCCTCAAAGAATAAGTATGATGTGAATGAATGGGGCACTGGAATTCAGCACCACAAGGAAGCAAGTTTTGTCTCTAGGATTGGCGACCACAGCAGCCTCTCTACCCTAAACCCAGGAGGGCCTGTGTGTGGCTTCCCTGTTCCATGGCCTTGGCTTCTACGCAATCCCCCCCACCCCCCACCCCACAAAACCCAATCCCCAAACCCCAAACTACATGTCCCAGTTGTTATAATAATAATAATAATAATAATAATAACAACAACTTACTATTTGCGTATTAAGGCAGAAAACACATAAATAAATAAATAAATAAATAAATATACTCCACCTCCACCTCCCTCTACAGCGAGCTCCACAAAAAGCCCGTTCCCAGAGGCGGGCGGGCGGGCGGGCGGGCGGGCGGGCGGGTGACCTCCACGTAGGCCTATGCCAAGTAGGCCCGCGCACCACCCCCCACACCCCCACTCTCTTTCATTGGTCCATCTGGGCGCCATGTGGAACTCATGACCTCCTACTCCTCCGCTTCCAACCCAACCAATTCATTTTCCGACCCACCCATCTACCCCTCTCTGTTCCCTCCTGTTCCCCTCTCTGTTCCCAACCATGCCAGCAGCAGGCTGCACTGGCCCCTCCTGGGCTTTTGCTTTTTTCTTTCCTGGGGGTTTACTTTTTGCCGTCGTGCATGGGTGGGTAGTGACTGGATGAGGACCCGATCCACTGTGTCATATGAGGTCTGTTTGGTGACTTCCCCTTCACATGGAAATCCAAAAAACGTGAGGGGACTTTTAAAATTAAAATTAATATATATATATATATATATGTATATAAATATTGAATATAAAATTAAATTTATTCATAAATACCAAATCTCATATCCAGACTCTCTTCATGAGACCTTACTTGAATTGATTGGCTATTATTGTGTTCCATGTTTACAGGCTTCCTGTAATCAATCTATCAGCATTTAGTTACAAAGCTCAAAGTTAAAAGGATCTACTAATATGACAGGGTTCCTTTTCTCACAGAGCAGCAAAGCTGATTACTACTCAAATCCAACCCATTTTGTTGAGAAAGTGACATTTAAATCAAGGACCACACTCCTACTGTCTACCTGAACCTTTTGAGGTACAAACTACTTACACAAATTGGGTCAGTTGCTTGTGGCCAAATGAATGCACAGAACCCTGTTTCAGAATGCTTAATTAACTTGCAGCAACCCATTGCCATTCCAAAGAACTGAAATTCTAATAAGAGCAAGTGAGCAAACCCCCACACACAAGGGAAGTCGAAAAGGCATGATGGGTACCTTTGGAGATCCAGCCCACCTTTTTGGATTTGGAAATACTTTCTTAATGTGTGGGATGATGGGCGAGAAGTGTTTTATAGAGACCCCCCCCCCCCACTCAGAGAGAGATAGGAATGAAGGAATGAGAGAGAGGGAGCTAAAGGCAGCCACAAGCTTTGGTTCCCATTATGGAACTGAAGGGCCTGCCATAAATGGTTTGCCAGTATGTACATAAACAGGTTTAGGGGGACGAAGAGATTGAGACCTTGGTCATAAAGTAGTTGTGGCCCACAACAGGAAAGAAAAGGAAGAAAAAGAAAACGAAAACGAAGATGTGATGCTGCAGCAGCCAGCATTGTGATGCAACTCTTTATTCCTTCCTTCCTTCCTTCCTTTTCTTTCCATTGAACTCTATCATCATTAATATTTAGGGCCTAATGACAATTGGAAGATAGATAGAGTTAGGAACTACTTGCATAGTATAGATGGCAGCTTAGACATAGTTATATCACAAGAACACAAGCTACAAGGCAAATATACTTACAAGCACTATGGCTCTAATAAGAGCAATAGACAATTGAAAAAAATCCAAGATATAACATCATAGATTAGAGGATTTGAATATGAGTGGTATATGCACACTTGTAATTAGTAAACTACCCCTTCTTATCATCAAAAGTAATGCAATAATGTAGAATAGAGTAGTTTGGATTTGCCTTAACGACCTATCTAATAGCAACTTTAGACTACT